TATCACATAAAGAAAATTTTATTCTTAAAAATTAAAAAATATTCTCATGAAATTTTTTCTTTCTAAAAAATTTTCCTCTTATAAAAAAAAAAAAAAAAAAAAAAAGAATTTTTTTTTTTAGGAAGGAAATGAAATAATTTTTTTGTGATGAATTTTCTAAAAGAAAATTTTATACATATAACATTAAAATTTTCACGTAATTAATATTTATATAATTAATTTGTATTGTCACTAATTGTTTATGTTTGTTAATTCAACAGAAATATATATTAATTGCTGAATGTAACTCATAACAAAGAAACAAGTAATATACAATTAATTAATAATCAATATTTAATGAGGATTTAAATTTTTAATAAAAATAAGGATTTTTATTAAAGTAAATAAATGCCTATTGAGATTGAAGAATGCTGAATGAAGTAGATTACATAATTAAGGATCACTCATTCAAAGCATTTTAAAATATATATAAATACATCAAAACCGTAGAGGCAACTCTAAATTTAAAAAAAAAAAAAAAAAAAAAAAAAAAATTTATGTATTTTAGTTATACATATTTTGTTCTATCCTTAATGTGTTAATTACTTTTTGTATATAAACAATTTTTATAAATATATTTTCCAATATTTATGTATACTTTTAAAAAAAAGAAAAAAAATATGAAATAATATAAAACTCAATTATGTTTACATTAAAATGTAGTAACATATATATTAGAATGCTCAACATTTTTGAAAATTTATAAAAAAATGTAAGATTTTTAAATAAAAAAAATAATAAAAATTTATTTGATTTTACATTTTTTTTGTTATTTTAAAAAATTTTATCTTTTATTTTAATCTTTTTTTTATATCTTTATTTTTTGTATTCATAATGTAAAATATTTTTTTTTTTTTTTTTTTTTTTTCCTAGATTTTCCTTTAAAAAAAAAATTTTTATAAGTTCCCAAATTTCACATTTTTGCAGATTCACGTCACAACATTTATCTGATATGTTGATAATTTATTTCATTAACCACCTTATACACTTTATTTCTTAAGTTTTTTTAATTAATGAGAAAAAAAAATTTAGATTAATGGCAGCTGTTTCATAAAGTTGTTATTAGAATTAAGGAATTATTCTATTTTGTATGAAATTATTACTTATTTAAATTGGAAAAATCTATTAAAATTAAAAAAAAAAGTTAAATATGATAAAATTAAAATTTTAACTTCAAAAAATTAAGATAACATAAAAAAGAAATTGAACATTGGATTATAAGTTGTAAATAATATATTACAACATATATAGTTACATAAGTTATATTATTTAAATTATTTTAATGATGTAATTAATGATAATTTTATACATATTCCTTTTTACTCAATTATTACAATTTTACTATTAAGAATGATACATTGACATAAACGTATTAACAAATCTACACCATATATTGATGAAAAATAAAAATTAATCTATTAAATGATATTATTAAAAATAAATGTAATCATTTTTATAAATATAAATGGAATATAAACATAAAAATTACAATAAGAAAAATATTATATAACATTTTATATTTAAAATTTTTTGGTATCTTATTTTAATGATTCTTTTAAAATATAAAGTTGAAATACAAGTAATATATATATTATATATCCTCCTTTTTGAAAAACTATATTATTTCCTTTGTTTTTGTTTTTTTTTTTGGTTAATTGAATAGATTTTATGGCATTTATATAATAATATATTATATTTTTTATACATTTAACAGGTACGTAAATTATAGACTATGCAAATGGATAATAAATCATCTTTCTTATATAAAAATTGATAAGTATGAAATAAATTTTCATTTAAATTAGAATAGAGATATCTTTGTATTAGGTTAACAAAAAGCAATATTTTGAAAATTATCTACAAGTAAATCTTTCATTTTATCTATACATAAGATTAATTTATAATGCATAAAACACATACTTTTAAAATACATGACAAATTTTAGAAAGAAAACTAAGGAATATTTCATTTTGGATTATATTATTCCTCATCTTTAATAGAAGCGGAAATATATAAATATTAAAAGATGCTATTTACAATATTTATTTAATATTAAATAAAACAAGTAGAGAATAAAAAGATAAATAAAATAAAAATGTTAAAATATATAAAATTTAGTTTAACAAGCTTCAGTTCTTTTTTCCACTTTGAATTCAACTTACTTTCTTCTTCATTAACTTTGATATTTTCTTCTCTTTTCCACTTTTCATTTTTTTCCATTATGCTCTTTTCCAACTCTTCTTTTTATCATTTTCTTTTCCCACTCTTCTTTTATTTTAGCATTTCCTTTTCAAACTTTTCAATTATTTCTAACATTCTTTTTTCCCCCTCTTCCTTATTTTTTCGCATTTTCTTATCCAACTCCATTTTTTCTTTTAGCATTCTCTTTTTCCATTTTTCGCCTTCTTTTGTAATTCGCTTTTTCCGCCCTTCTAATACTTTTAGCATACTCTCATCAATCACTTGCTTTTCTTTTAGCGTTCTTTCCCACTCTTCCTTATGTCTTAGAACTCCCTTTTCCCTATGTTCCATTTCTTTTTTTTCTTTTAGAAGTTTCTTTTGACCATCTTCCATTTTTTTTTTTTCTTCTTGCATTTCCTTTTCCAAATCATCTTTCACCTTTTTATTGCTATTATCCAATATCTTCTGCAACCTAACATTCATTTCATTTTTAGCTTTCAATTTACGAGAGTAAATTTTCTGTAAATTATTACAAATGATTTAAAATTTAATTTTTATAATATATATAAAGTTTATAATTATAAACTTTATTTTACCGCAAAACGAAGGAAAAAAATAAAAATGATAACTAACTGAAAAATACTTAACGACTTTTTATCAAGAAGATTTTTTGATGTAGCTGAATCCAAATTTATATCTTTAGATGGTTTTTTATTGGCATGTCGTAATTTCCAGAAACAATTATGTAATGGATTTTTTCGTTTTGTAACAGTTGCATTTTTTTTTGCACTATGAGCGATACCTGCAGTTGAATCTCCCTCATTTAGTCTCTTATTGGAATTAATATTAATAGGATCACTAGGATTAACATCCATTTTTGGTATCTTAAAAAAAAGT